AATAATGTCAGACAGCATCCCTGGCTGGTTTGTTGACATTTATTTCTCAGCTGAAGAGATGTCATTAGTGGCGAGAGTCAAGCAGGAGAGGATTATTGGCATGGGTCATTATGTTTGTGCTGGTGGGTCATTGGGGCATTGCTTATCATAAGTGAAAATGCATATATATCGCTATATGATGTATTAACATTGGATTTACGTTATTGGTCTGGGGGGGGGGGGGGGGTTAAAACACCTTTTTTTTTATGGTATCTGTGTGTTTATTTTCTTTGTTTTTTATTTTGTGAATGAGTAACAAGGGGTGCTATGTACTCCATACTTATTCAAGTAGGGGGAGAGCAAGGTATCCAGGGGCCCTCTTATTCTAAAGTGGCTTCTCATCAGTATGGGGACAAGGTGTCTTGCAAGGTGGAAGAAAGAAGGTAGGGTATGCATACTCACTGCCCATCCTTTTTTTGGCCAGCCAAACTGACTGCCTGGATAAGGGTCTGGTATGTTTTTTTTTTAAATTTTTGCATGGGGTCCCACCTTAAAATCTATATCACACCCCTATCCAAGGATAAGGTGCTGTTTTTTGGTTTTGTTTTTTTATTTTGCATATGATCCCCATTAAAAATGTATACAAGTCTCCAATGTAGGACAGGAGTCTGATATAAATGTTAAGGGTTCCCCAACAAATTTGTTTTTTTTTTTGTTTTTTTTTTTCTTCTGCAGGACATGTTGCCTGGTATGGGGTCAGGGATGGGGGACATGATCACTGCCCACTGCTTTTCTTGCCAATTTAGGCAACATGCCTGGAAATGGGTCTGGTAAGGATTTCTGAGTGGGTCACCATGCAAAAAAAAAAATTGTATGGGCCCCCCAAAATCCATACTAGTCAATTGCATATTATTTAAAAGAATTGTGTATTTTTTAAAAACACACCACTTTATTAAGAAATCCACTTATTTTTTTATTGTATTAGTACATATTTCCCTTGGCAGTGCCCAGTTACAACTGCGTTTTTATCAAAGTCCTGCAAACTGGCCTTGAAATAGACTTCAGTGAGATGTGGGTGCTATGCTCTGTGTTTGCAGATTTTTTCAGGTGTTTGGCGACTGTCCAGTGAACTGAACTTAGCTTGGATTACTCATCACTACATTTATATAGCACCACCAAATTCTATGGTGCTTTACAGAGAGCACTGAACCATTTGCATGAGTCTCCACCCTCAAAGGAGATTACTATTTAATATCCCTGCCAGGGTCATACACCCATGAAGTCTGGCCAATTTACCTTCTTTCTGGCTTGTGGGAAGAAAACTGAGTGCCAGCAGGATTCCCATGCCAACAAAGGGAGAGCATAACAAAATTATTCAGATTACTTTTTTTTACATTTCCAGCACAGAACACACAACATGCAAGATGATAAAGGAAAAGAATATAATATGTACAGTATATACTGTATATCATTGCTATTATTGTCACTTAGCAGCAGGGTTGATGTCTGTGGATTGAGTATAATGGATCGGAATCCAATCCATTATGCTCCCCATTCTGCAGATCTAATCCATCCTGCGGGGATCGTCGGCATGCAACCTATACGGGGTGACACCGGATCCGCTCCACAAAAAGGTAAGTTGTAAAGAAAGCCGACGATCCCAGCAGGATGGATTGGATCCATCCTGCGGGGATCATCAGCTTTCTTTACAACTTACCTTTTCGTGGAGTGGGTCCGGTGTCACCCTGTGTGGTAGGTGTCACCCGGTGCGGGCTGCAACCCCCGCACCTGCCTCGGGATGCCACTGCTTAGCAGTTAAGGAAAGCCAATGCATTAATGAGAGTAATAAAATTTAGACCAGTTATGTATTTTGTTCAAAATTCATCAAACACATTTTAAAATTTTGAACTCTGTCTTTTTATTGATTATCCCATAATCCCCTGAATAGTGGAAATTTAGACGGAAAAAGAAAAAGCAAGTGCTGTGAGCTAATACATTGTACTATAGTAACAAACTACTGTTTCAGGCTTGAGTGGATTTATACAAAGGTAAGGTTATAGGATGGACATCATTAGTCCACTGAGAGTGATGTACTGGATATGAGGAGATATTAAAGGAAGCTATTAAAATACACCAGCCATTCTCAATCACGTTTCCGTGGTACCCTAGGGTTCATACAGGGCTGGCTAAAGTTTCCTTGAGCTGTGGCTAATTGACCTCTTATCAGATGGTGGCTGCATAGTTTCCAGTCCAACATCACTTAGTGTCAGGGTCCGGATCTGAACCTGGGAAACTGTACCTGGCTGTGGCTCTTCTTGCTGTACCACCTGAGATAATGGACAGCTCCCTGTCTGACCCCTTGGATGATAATCTTGCCTTGTATCTTGTTTCTGGTGAACCTTGAACTCTTTGCTCTTCCCATTTAATTCCTGATTTAGACCAAGTCTCTGCACTTTCTGTTTGCCAGATTACTATGCTCTCTCCAGAGATAATCTTGTTCCTTGCATACCTGCAGCTGTCCTTAACTTTGCTACCATTGTTACTGACCTTTGGCTTGTTCCTCAACTACGCTTCTGCTTGATCCCAACCTGCAATCACTTGTCACAACCTTTGGTTTGTTTACTCACTCTGCTTCTTCTTGATCTCTACCTACTGCATCTGTTACCGGACCTTGGCTTGCTCACCTCCTGGTGGGGCGATACTGAGGATCGTGACCCAGTGCTAACAAACAGCAAAACCAATATCCACCATCATAGCCTCCAGTGCAGACCCGTAAGTGCTTAGACCCCTTGCCTCTGGTGAGCCCGCATCATCCTCTAGTGACTTGCTTGTGAACTTATCCTGCTAATCGGTGTAAACCTCTCTACTGCTATAGCTACTAGTCTCCGAGCCTAACCCCTGACCGTGACATTTAGCAGAGCCAGTGGCATGACTGTAAGGATATTATTCTGGCCACTACTGTAAGAGAAGCATTCTTTCCACTTACCATCACTAGTGTAAAAAATTTTTTACGATGACCCCTGATGGACTTATATTTTTTCAGGGGTTCCCTGAAAACTGAAAATTATTTCAAGGGTTCCTTTGGAGTTAAAAGGTTGACAAAGGTTGTACTAGTTAATGCATGCTGCAGGGCTGAAGTTTTTTTAGTTTGTCATTAATATTGAAATATTTCCAATATCTCAGAAGTAACTACAGTTAATATATTATATCATATTCAGCTGCCTATCAAATTGATTATTTACAAAAATTAGCTGTACAGCTGCAAAGCTGCAGACTGTGAACTGTAGTGCAACAATGTAAAATAGAGTGGGGGTTTGTCAATCACGAGAATGGCTAAATTTAAAGTCCAAAGTTTTGTTTTTGTTTTTTAGTTTTTGATAGACAGTGGAAGGATAAATACCTCTTTCAGTGTTTTTGCTATCTGTGTCCCATTGGGGAAATGTTACCTAAAAAACGCCCTGCTAATGCTTCAATATTGTTGGTTGTGGCACGTGATCTCTTGCCGTGTACAATTTAAATGCAATCCACCAAATGCAGAAATCATCTGCATTAAAATTAAAAGATTTGTATTTCATCTACAATAACTGACCTATTTTACATATTATGTTCAACATTTTATCTGCATGTTTTTTTTACTCCTTAAATGAGTTAGAAATAAGCAGCAATAAGTTTTAGAACCCAAATACAAAGCAATAATTATTTTCTAAACAAACATGCAACATTCATGGCATTATTCAGACCACCTTCCAAACAGAAAATTCAATGTTTTTTCTCTCTATAGCGATTGTTTTTGTTGTTTTCCAAAATCTAACAGCTGTTTACTTGCCATTATGATGTTTCAATATATGTTTGTCAATAGGAGACCTAGGGTTACCAGAATTTATGTCAGAAATATAATCTGAAATACACACTTAAAACGTGTTTTTATCGTTTCAACATAAAAATAATTGCATTCATAAAATAAAAGGTACAAAACTCCTACTGCATTGCATTCAACAACATACATCTCTTAGAAAAGCACTCCATTAGGCAACTGTTTGTTATAAACCTTGTCTGAATATCAACAAATAGAGCAGGAACTACACATATATATTACTGTATTTTTACAATATTTTCATTTTTGTCTAGTGAAATGACTTTTTTCCAAGGTGTCTCTCAGGGATCTTGCTTTATTAAAGTAAATCTTGGCCTGGGGGGAACTATCTTTGACAACAATGGTCTCTCTGTTAACCAGTGCCAGCATGTGCACATTGTGTTTCTCAAGTCATGTGCTTGATAAGAAATGTAATAATTAGTCTAGGTTTGGCATAATCTTGTCCTTGTAGGAGGGTATGTACACCAGTTCTCTTTTTTGTATGTCCTTCCCTTATCAGTTTTTCTTTTTATTATGCTTTTCTAAAATCCCTGTGGAAGCTCTTTCTAAAAACAACAATCTTCATCTTGTAGCTTCAAGTTTAATGGATTCATCTTTCGAACAATTCCTAAAAATGCATAAGTACTCGCTCATGGGGTTCCCCTGATCAGATTTTTTGGATGAACGCTTATTAGCATGCAGCAATGTGGTTCCTCGCAGCTGGTTTATGAAACAAAGGTTTAAAAACCTTTCCATTATCATTTGCCATAATCTTTACATCTAAAAATGTCAGCAAATTTTTATCATAGCTCATGGTGAATTGACATTTAACTGTTCTACAAATTCCTTTAAATCCTTATCTGATCCTTGCAAGAAAAACAGGATGCCCTCAATGTACCTGTACCACATTAATATGGCCGCATACACAATTGACTTGTGACAATTGAAATTGGATTTGCGGCCTTTGTCAGCTGGGTTATGAAGAACATTGATGGTATGTACACTATATTGCCAAAAGTATTGGGACACCCCTCCAAATCATTGGATTCAGGTGTTCCAATCACCTACGTGGCCACAGGTGTATAAAATCAAGCACCTAGGCATGCAGACTGCTTCTACAAACATTGGTGAAAGAATCAGTCACTCTCAGGAGCTCAGTGAATTCAAGCTTGGTACCGTGATAGGTTGCCACCTGTGCAATAAGTCCATGCATGAAATTTCCTTGCTACTAAATATTCCACAGTCAACTGTTAGTGGTATTATAACAAAGTGGAAGCAACTGGGAACAACAGCAACTCAGCCACAAAGTGGTAGGCCATGTAAAATGACAGAGCACGGTCAGAGTATGCCAAAGCGCACATTGCACAGAAGTTGCCTACTGTCTGCAGAGTCAATAGCTAAAGACCTCCAAACTTCATGTGGCTTTCAGATTAGCACAACAACAGTGTGTATAGAGCTTCATGGAATGGGTTTTCATGGCCAAGCAGCTGCATCCAAGCCTTACATCACCAAGTGCAATGCAAAGCATTGGATGCAGTGGTGTAAAGCATGCCGCCAGTGGATTCTAGAGCAGTGGAGATGTGTTCTCTGGAGTGACCAATCATGGTTCTCTGCCTGTCAATCCGTGGACGTGCCTGTGTTTGGCGGTTGCCAGGAGAATGGTACTTGCCTGACTGCATTGTGCAAGTGTAAAGTTTGGTGGAGGGGAGATTATGGTGTGGGGTTGTTTTTCAGGGGTTGGGCATGGCCCCTTAGTCCCAGTGAAGGGAACTCTTAAGGCGTCAGCATACCAAGACATTTTGAACAATTTCATGCTCCCAACTTTGTTAGAACAGTTTGGGGATGGCCCCTTCCTGTTCCAACATGACTGCACACCACTGCACAATGCATGGTTCATAAAGACATGGATGAGCGAATTTGTGGTGGAGGAACTTGACTGGCCTGCGCAGAGTCCTGACTTCAACCTGATAGAACACCTTTGGGATGAATTAGAGCAGAGACTGTGAGCCAGGCCTTCTCATCCGACATCATTGCCTGACCTCACAAATGTACTTCTGGTCAAACATTCCTATAGACACACTCCTAAACCTTGCGGACAACCTTTCCAGAAAAGTTAAAGCTGTTATAGCTGCAAAGGGTGGGCCAACTCAATATTGAACCCTACAGGCTAAGACTGCGATCCCATAAAGTTCACGTGCGTGTAAAGGCAAGAGCCCCAATACTTTTGGCAATATAGTGTATGTCCCTAAGTATGGAAAAGATCATTTAAACCCCAAACAATGTTAGTCTATAAAAAAATTGTTTTCATATGAGGACATGAAAATAAAGATAGCTGACAAAGGCATTAACTTAGTTATAATGTATAAGTCAATATACAAACAATGAGGATTCTATCTAGGATGGGTTGGTATAGAAGGATATCAGAAGCCTCACATAAATATTACCAAAGGTACATGTTTGAGATAGTACATTCAGCTCACAAGCACAAAATTTCAAAAGATAGAAGTGACTTTCTAAAAGTACATTTTCTTGTAATACCTACTTTTTATTCTCTGACAAAGGTGCATCAACTGATTGTGAATCCACCAGGATGCCCCATAATTTCAGGGTGTGGATCCCTTACAGAAAAAAAATATTATGTAGACTCCTACAGGGACATGTTAAGGCTTTGGCATCATTTGTATGTGATACTCTACATTTGCTGTAAATTTTAAAAGGTTTTGAGATATCCAAGGATACCATTTTGGTGTCTCCAGATGTCGAATCACTTTAATGCAGTATACCCCATAAAAATCAAGATTGTAGGAATGTTTATAAATGAGATAGACATCATGCAATATGACTACAACATGTTCCTGCTGAAGCTTTTTGAATTTCTGTTAACCCATAATGGGTTACAATCAGGAGCTCCCACTTCTTCCAGGTGCAGGTGGTGATGGGCGCAACATGTGCTTTGCCATATGCCAACTTTTACCTAGGAAGGTGGAAACATATTTTTGGAAATGAGGATATTGCACTGTACCTGTACCATATACTAATCTTGCACAGGTACATTGATGACATATTGTTTTTGTGAACAGGATCAGAAAGGAATTTAAAGGAATTTGTAGAAAAGGTGAATGTCAATTCACTTTGAGCTATGGTAGAAAGTTGCTGATGTTTTTGTATGTCAAGATTATCATGGATAAAGGAAAGGTTTTAACATTTTTGTTTCGTAAACCAACTGCAGGCAATACATTGCTGCATGCTAGCAGTTTTCATCCAAAGAATCTGACACTGATTAACAGAAAATTGGCACTGGTTAACAGAGGATCCAATGTTGTCAAAGATAGTTTCCAAGAATTAAATTTTTAAAGAGCAAGATCCTGAGAGACATCTTGTGAAAAAGTAATTTTTACTAGAGAAAAATAAAAATGTTGTAAAAATAGATGTACATATATTTCTAATTCTAGCTCTGTGTTTCAATATTTAATAAAGAGTAATAACAAACAATTGCTTAATGGAGGGCTTTTGTGTTGTGGAGGGTTTTTGTGTTTGACACATTTTTTTAACTACACTACAATAGGAGTAATTTTAGTATGTGAATGCAATTGTTTTTATGTTGAAAAAACAAAAAATGAATGTTTAACCGATTTCCCCTGATAGACATACTATGGTTTCAATGGTTCTACCAGAGACCTGGCTGCAGCTGCAGTCATGACCCTGGTATCTTTTTTTACAGCCAGCTATTCTCTACAATGTAAAAGTGATCCGAGCCGCTGGATCGATTTTACATGAGGAAGAAAGGTCGTGTCCATAGAGATGAAGGAGGAACTAGACCCAAAGCAGCATTGTTTTACCGAGGGCAGATAATGTCAGACTAATCTGATTTAATTTTTTTACTTTATCACTAATATTTTGGACCAGGGTGGTGCTGTGGACATAGCCTATCTTGATTTCAGCAAGGCATTTCACGCACTTCCACATTAGAATCTAATACAAAAGTTGTTCAAGCTAGGACTTAACCCTTGGGTGGCTCAGTGGATAGACAGTTGGTTAAAGGATACATACCAGAGTGTGGCTGTAAATTCATCACGGTTCATTTTTGCAGACGAAAATTTCATGTTATGAGATTTGGCTGTATACAAATTTCTGAATTGACATAGTAATGAATGTCAACAAATCTAAAAAAAAGTTATAATGAAAATAACAAATGCATTTGTTTCATTCAGATGTGATGGTAGTTTGGACCCATGGGGATATGAATTAAATGTTCTAATTTGTTAAATAGTTTGGGTAACCAATAGATCCAAATTTTGTTCCATTAGTTAATTCAGATGCACATGACGCCAGTCAATTTTGTCCAATCAGCTCATGTCATTTCTCTTGGTGGGTTGGACTAGCATCCGAAAACCGGACCGGAATCCTTTCCGGTTCGATAATATACCAAATATATAGCAATCTTTCAGGAAAAAACTGCACAATTTTTAAAATCCACCCAGACCAACAAATATATGAAACGAATGCCGGAAATACAAAATCAATTCCTAAAACCAATTGTTTCAACATAATGAATATGACAAAAAGAAATTCTTCAATGAACAAATGCATCCAAAACTAAATAAAAATTTCCAGAGTGCACATGTCTAGCTGTAAATGGGGTTCATTCAGAACAGAGACCAGTCACTAGTGGTGTACCATAAGGCTCTGTATTAGGTTCTGTTCTATTTAATTTATATGTAAGTGATATAACTAAAGGGTTGTTGGGTAAGGTATGTCTTTTTGCTGATGATGCAATAGGGTGGATATCCGTGGAGGTGTCTAACATGGAACATGATTTGCTATTGCTGGAAAGCAAAGAAAAGTAGTAGTAGCGAGAGGTTCGGTGATCTGGCTCCCTCCCCAGCAGTCGGTTTCCAAGAACAATCGGGACTGAACATGCAGCTTAGCCGTGTGGTATGGGAGGGGTAAAGGAGATGAGTGAGAGCACACATGAGGTCCACGCTAGTGCCCCATTCTGTCACTGGGTGTAAAGTGACAGAAGTATGCTGGACAGGTGGAGAAGATGTGGGCTCAGCAGAGTCCCTTCTAAATGTGACATGTTATGAGAAAGGTGTGTAGTGACACAGGACAGAAGGTTTTACAGAGGAACTCTGAATGTCATAATTCTACTCATGGTCCATCTCTAACACGGGGAACTGCCATAATGTTTGACTTTCACATGAATGTGGTCCCTGCTTAGTCCTAGGCATTGGTTAGCGTGTACATGGTGAAAGATATTCCCACATGCAGGGTGAGTGGCCCCACCCACACCCACACCCATAATTCATGGCATCATTCAGACAAACTGTCAAGGTCCTAACTTTTCCCAGAGATTGTGCTGCTTCATGTGCTGGCGTCCATCTTGGGTTTCTGCAGAGCATGGTGGGAGTCTTTTATGCCTTCAGGCCTCTGGGGTCCATCCCCCAGAGGGGTGTGGCTAATTACATATAAGCCTGTTATCCGCACATGCCCTTTGCACTTGTGTCTTGTGTCTTGGTGTTGCTACAGCTCTGTTTATACTCTCATGACTCTCCTGGAATCTGACTCGCCTTGTGACTAGACCATTCTCTGTGTTTTCCATTGATCTGACCTTCTGTTGCTGAACCCGGCCCGTGACCTGTGATTCTTGTCCACTGTTCTGTGCCATTTTGTCCCGTTGTTGTCGACCCGGCCTGCCTGACTACGCTATTGTCATTCCTACCAGCTACACGCCATTGGCGGCGGCCATTACCGCAGCCGGGGTGTCTCGGGGGCCACGACCTGGTTCCTGGCTGCGCCAAGTCCATCTCCACCATCAGAGGCTCTGGTGAAGGGCAGCCTGGGACATAGACTCCGCGCCCTGAGGGACTTCGGTCTGTGGGTGGTGGTTGTCGTCAGTCAGTGCGTTACCCTGCCACTAGGCCTGCCTGTCCGTTCCACAGCCCCTGTCCTGATACAAAGGAACATCATAGCTCCTAAACTGTACATCAGTTTCCTTCTGTACTAGTTTTTTGGGTTTTTTTAAATCAAAATTACCTCCTCTGTTGTTTACATGTTATTACTTTTTTCTCAGAGAATAGCTGCAGGTTTACCCCACTTCTGTGTCAACCATTATCTCCCCTCCTACACACCTCCGAGCACTGTCCCTTGGTTCCGCCCCTACCCACCTCTCAGTACTGCCCCTTTTAGAGAATACAGAACCAAGTATCATTTTGTGGTGCTAATGAAAAACAACATACCCCCTCAGCAACAATAGATCCATCACAGCAACAGCAGACCCCCGGTCCACAACAATAAATCTCCCAGCAGCCAGCATCAATAGAATTGCCTGCAGCCAGCAACAGTAGACCCCTCCCTTAACAGTAGATCCTTCCCAGCAACAACTGACCCCCCCGGCAACAATAGACCCTCCCACAAAACAGCTCCCTCCAGCAACAACAGATCCCCCAGCAGCCAGTATCAATAGACCCATCAGCTCACCCCAGCACCCCTTAATTTACATACAGTACATTCTGAGCTGGAGGTGCTGGAACTGTGTTTCCCCACATTCCTGCTTGTATTTTAGGGTTGCCACCTCATCCCTTTAAAACAGAACACATATTAATTATACAGGTTCTGGGGCTAATTTAATGCAGATAAGGCACCGAGTGACTTTAATTACCACCGTAATCAGCCACAGAATGTGTTCTGTTT